CACATGATTTTCACCCAGTTTGTCACAAAACGTGCATATTTTTTGCTGACTTTGATGCGGTCCGAGTGAAACAGGAAGTGATGTCAGAGGGGAACTCCTGAGTGAGTTGCTACAACGGCTAACAAGTCTGCAGAGAATCAGACGTTCCTGTAGATTATTTTGAGTCACTATCAGATTAAGAAAAGTCAGACTTATAAAGACCAGGAAGTTACCCGTTTTTTAAAGAGTTCCCCTTTGATGTCACTTCCTGTTTCACTCGGACCGCATCAAAGTCAGCAAAAAATATGCACGTTTTGTGACAAACTGGGTGAAAATCATGTGAATGATGCCAAATTTCTCAAATATCAGATTTTATTTAATTTTTTGTAAGTGAAGAAAAAGCATGTCACGGCACTTTAAGTCTTTAGCCAGTGTTTTGTTACTTTTAGTCAGTTTTCTGTTTTTTTTTTTTTTAAGTTTATAACTTCATCAAATTTCAGGGCTCATTCATAATTTTTATTTATTGTTTATATATTTGAAAAACACTTTGTATTTCTTTATTTTAGTTTATTTTGATGAAACCAACGCGTGAAGCTGATAAATGAGTGTTTTGTTCAGAAACATTAAAATGAACTGCATTTGTAGTTACAGCTGCTGTCCTGAGGGGCGCCAGTGAGCTACATGTTTCAGCAGCGAAGAAGAAGAAGAAGCGACTGGCCACAACAATAACATCARACGTAGCTGCGTTAGCTTCAATCAGCTAATCGGCTCCAAATTAAAATAACTTTCAGGTAATTTGAAGCTGGACCGGTTCGATCAGCAGAGTAAAGCTGTAAACGTTTCTCTCCGGAGGTGAASTCGGCGCCATGTTGGCTGTTTGGTCTCAGAAAGCTGCTGCTGGTGTGATGCGCAGACGGTAGCCCGGTGATTTATTTATTTATTTGTTTTTATTTCTCTGCTTTGTGTGTCCGGTACCGGGAGCAGACATGGAGAGTTTGTACAAACGCAAAATGTTCGCCTCGATGCGGAAAACCAAAGTGGCCGTGAACAAGAAGCGACAGATCGGCCTCCCCGCCTCCATCCTGGACGACAGCGACGAGGGCTCCTTCTCCTCCTCCACCTCCGGGTCCCAGTCCGACTTCCGGAGCACCCCGGAGGACAGCGAGCAGGAGGACCGGGAGGACCGGGACTGGAGCGAGTCCGGAGCCTCGTCCAGCGACGACAGCCGCTCCGTGACCCGCAGGAAGCGCTCCTTCCTGGGGGGAGGAGACGACAGCTCCTCGTCCTCCAGCGGAGGAGAGGAGGAGGAGGAGGAGGAGGACGGAAGGAGCCAGCCCAAGAGGAAGGTCCAGCCCAAGAAAAGGAGCCGGCTGCAGCGGCAGGACGAGTCGGACTCGGAGCAGACGGAGGAGAAGCGGAAGGAGGAGGCGGAGAAGGAGAAGAGGAGGCAGAGACACAACAAGCTGCTGGCCCTGTCCCGGAGGATGAAGGCCCGGGTCCCGAACCGGAGGAGGAGCCGCCTGAAGCAGGTACAGAACCGAGGCCAGGTCCTGGACCTCTTCTAATGTTCTGATCCAGACTCCTGTGGTCCTGAAGTTCTGATCCAGACTTCTGTGGTCCCGAAGTTCTGATCCAGACTTCTCTGTGGTCCTGAAGTTCTGATCCAGACTTCTATGGTCCCGAAGTTCTGATCCAGACTTCTGTGGTCCTGAAGTTCTGATCCAGACTTCTTTGGTCCTGAAGTTCTGATCCAGACTTCTGTGGTCCAGAAGTTCTGATCCAGACTTCTGTGGTCCTGAAGTTCTGATCCAGACTTCTGTTGTCTGGAAGTTCTGATCCAGACTTCTGTTGTCTGGAAGTTCTGATCCAGACTTCTGTGGTCCTGAAGTTCTGATCCAGACTTCTGTGGTCCTGAAGTTCTGATCCAGACTTCTGTGGTCCAGAAGTTCTGATCTAGACTTCTGTGGTCCTGAAGTTCTGATCCAGACTTCTGTGGTCCTGAAGTTCTGATCCAGACTTCCCTGTGG